TATATACTGAGAAATGATGAAACCATTAAAAACAATAGAAAAAATTAAATACTTCATTGGAATTCCTTTGAAATTATCTGTAAGTTAAAGCTTGAAATAAGTTATAAAAATATAATGTTTGACGGTCATTTTTATTTTCGAAGATACCTATGTCTAAAAGTATTAATTTTCTCTTACATACCTATCTATTCACTGCTTCTAAATTGCGTTCCTTTAGATGAGGTTTCGTTAGATAGTAGACAGGAACAATGTGTTTTCTATTTCCTTGTATTAATATACAATTTTCCAAAAAATTCATTTTTTCGGGTGTATTTGAGGCTTTCATATAGCCTATTGTCAAGAAAGTTGTTGAGTTCCTTTCATTCTAACTACCTATTGTTGTGTGTCTTTCAGCTAAAATGTATATTACCTTTGTCTTCCCGTGGGAAAATCTTTTGCAAGGTTAACCGTGCCATATGTAAGTGTAGATAGCGACCTTTTCCACTGGTGTCAAATGATGTCTAGAGCAATGTTTCCCAACTGTCGGATCGCAACCCGGTACCAGGGCGCGAATCATTATTTGCCGGGGTGCGAAATGTTGTATGAATATATAGCATGTAATGTTACCGGGGTGCGGTGAAATACACAAAAGACCTACCGAGGCGCAGTAGCTTTTGTTTGAGAAACACTGATCTAGAGGATACAATACACCTAATGATCAATGGGAATAATCTCTCTCCAGTAAATGCTACTGCCTTTCTTGTTAAATACACATGTTATTATTTGTGTTTAAATAAAGATCGTTTTTACTGTGTATTTCACAGTTGTGCCCAGTCTTTTTCTTTCACTAACTCAGATAGGTTCAGAGAATTCAGAATTACTTTGTAATATACATTTTGATCGAATCTCCTGTTATTCTGTGGACCTATCTTATTTACTCTTAGGGGAAATCAATCTTACCTGAAAATACCACACAAACATAAAATGCACCAAAAATGTGTCTGTCTGGACACTCTACCACACAAACATAAAATGCACCAAAAATGTGTCTGTCCGGACACTCTCACATGAAATTATCTATCCATCTATACACACACACACACAACTTATTTATCTTTCTATTTCTAATAAAAAACATATATATATATATATGTCTGTCTGCACATACACACAGCACTTATATATCTGTAAATACACACACACGCTTGTCTATATATTTACATACACACAGCACTTATCTATCTGTAAATACACACACACGCTTGTCTATATATTTACATACACACAGCACTTATCTATCTGTAAATACACACACACGATTGTCTATATATTTACATACACACAGCACTTATATATCTGTAAATACACACACACGCTTGTCTATATATTTACATACACACAGCACTTATATATCTGTAAATACACACACACGCTTGTCTATATATTTACATACACACAGCACTTATCTATCTGTAAATACACACACACACGCGCTTGTCTATATATTTACATACACACACAGAGTATTTATCTAACTGTACACACAGCACTTATCTATCTGTAAATACACACACACGATTGTCTATATATTTACATACACACAGAGAGTATTTATCTAACTGTACACACGCACTTATCTATCTGTATACACACGCGTTCTTCTATCTGTACACGCTCAGCTCTTATTCATCTGCACAAGTACAGCACTTACCTATTTGTACATAAAAACATTTATCTATAAGGACGGCTGCAGAGTGTGGTCCTGGGTGCCAGTTTCAGTGTTGGTGTCAATTCCTTCTAATTTGCCAAAAGATAGAACTATATACGTCTTTTAACATAAACTTGGAAAAGTTAACTAATATTTTTACTGATTTGTATTTACTAAAACTAATATTTTTACTGATTTGTATTTACTAAAACTAATATTTTTACCGACTTGCATCCACAAAGACTGGTATTTTTACTGACTTGCATCCACAAAGACTGGTGTTTTTACTGACTTGCATCCACAAAGACTGGTATTAGTGTAAACTGTGAATATCTGTTGGAACTTTTATGTAAACTTTTGAAAGATAACAGTTTTCTATATAAATATTTGCAACTTACAGTACAGTGTGATTATTGTTATTGGAATACTATTTTCATAAGTATGTGTACATTCACTGTAAATCATCTGATATCGATAAACAAATATATTTTTATAAATGAATATTCAATACTTATACTTTTTTATATATTTGTTTCACTATTTTACGTATGGAACAAAGCCTTGTGCATCCAAAAACGTTTTGTTGATATTCACCCATCTAGATACACACAAACACACTTATCTATCTATTGATATGAGTGTATCACGACTACCTATATATAACACTTGGACAGACTATTCATGTTCTGGGAAATCTCTGTTGGTATCTTCAGACTGTCATTAAGAAAACAGGATAATGTTCCTTTACATTTATAACGAGTTTTTTATTAGCAACACTAAGTTTAGTTTTTCCATGTCAAATTCTATGTATATTCTGCATATAATGTCACAATGTTCTTTTTTAATGAAAGTCATAAGGATCCTTCCTAGAGACAGGAGAAGAGACTGAGAAAGAGGACAATAAACTTCCATATGTAAAAGGTGCTTTGATGATTCATATACAAATTCCGATAATGCTTATTTTCTTGGGGGAAAAAGATACTGGATCATTGTTCACTGGTGAGGCAATTTTGAGGTTTGTAAAACATCAATTTAAACATTATTGAGGCTGTTATTTGTGGTGGGGCTTGAGTGGAGTAATATAACTGACTGCATTAGACCAAATATCAATTCGCAGTGCGACAGAGACAATCTTAAAATTCAACTATGGGGTTTCCGCCTTTAGACTGAAAAATACAAAACATAAAAACAGGATCCGTATCTCAAATTCGGAATGGTCCTGCAGGAATATAGCAATGGACTTATATGTTTGAGTATTTTTGTTTGTTTGGAATTAAGCACAAAGCTATCAGTGCTCTACACACACCACGAGTATCGAAACCTGGTTTCTAGCGTTGTAAGTCCGCAGACGTACCGCTGTGCCACGGGGGGGGGGGGCATGTATTTTTGTTATCAGTTTTTATGGCGTATGATTTCTAGTACTAACTTTTCAGAAAAACAGTTCCATTGTTTCAAAGTCATCGTTATAGCGCTTGATATATTTTATAGCGTAAACTAACATGTACGCAGCTTTTGGTATCAAGTTCTATATTAGTCATAAATTAATCTCTGAACAATCTATAAAATTAAAAATAAAACGAAAATATGTAGTGATCTTCAGAAGAGGGTTAAGTACTAACACAATTGCTTTTATGGTGAGTAAAGCTCATTACAGGACATAAATGGTTGTTTGGAATTCCAGACATTCAAGCACCCCCCCCCCCTGGTTCTTAAACTTTCGAGACACAAAAACTAGTCGCCTATTTAATTATTATTATTCAAAGATAAGTAGAAGGCTGATTTGTTAATTCTTGTTGGCTAGTTGTTTGTAATTAAGCACACTTGTTGGCTAGAAACCATCAGAAATATTTACTTATACCATTATTGTTAGATATCGTTCAGTGAGATTAATTTGTAATTTAGTGGTACGACTTTTTAGAAGACAAAATTAGAAAATATTTCATTCTAAAACCGTTAAAAAGATGGCGTTTAAAACTGATAAGGATTATCTGAAAAATGTGAAGCGACACTTCTACATTTGGATAATATTGCTATAAATAAAAAGACCCTTTGGTGGCGTTGTACGATGTTTACTCAAAGTATTGAAGAAATTCACCAGTTATAATAATCTTCTAGTTTGACGTACAACTTATATCAATTACACGCAGTTTTAAAAGGCCGAGTTGAAAATACTCGCTAGTTAGCTGCTTTTATTACTAATAAGTTTACTGTTTATATGTGATAACAAGGTTTCTTTATATTTATCAGTATTGGAAATAATGCATAACGAATAAGGTCTCTGTAGATTTGATGCATCGTACGCCATCTCTAGGGGATTGAGGAAAGTTTGATCTCAAAGAGTGTAAACGAAACCGGAGGAATACCTAACAGTGGCGACGTCAAGGGAAAAGTTTAGTAAAGGCTACCTACATCTTCCAGAATACAATGCCTTCAGTTACTAGGCAACTCTACACAAAAGAAAACCCACCCAACAAAACATTATCTAATCTCTGAACTTTTCAATTTAACTTCCATATTGTTACGTCTCCGTTTGTTAATTAACTTTCCGTAACTTCGTTCCGACGAAATTTTAACGACACAAGTCTTTACTTAATAAAACTGGTTTATTCTTTCCGAATATAACTTTACCGATACACTCAACTTCAACAATCGCGCTAAACAAACGCTATAACAACGAACGTCAATAATACTGCTGACTGCAGATCAATTACTCACTGTCTATACACACATTACCTTCCCCTTTGTGATATGAATTATCGTAAGTTGGTGTTGGGTAAAAATATAGAGGATAAGCCTGTACTACCTTGGTTTTACAAACTGGATAACAAATACTGTCAGTGTTACCAACGGCCAAAGCACTGTTGCTAGGCAAAAACTAAGAATAAACTAAAACATAAAAACGAACGAAAGTTGTTTAGGACGTACAGTTTTTACATATATGTTATAAGAGGTGACCAATTTTACAATAATCTCGAACAATACTTTTGGTTGAAAAACGGAACGCAGAAACACCTATCTGATAAACTTGCCTCCTCAGACCAAAGGAGCACCTATCTTGTTAAATGAATTTGACCATAAATTTGTTTTTCTTTCGCATTTCCTATAACAACATTCTCAAAATGAATATGAACTAAGTGGATTTTCTAACTCCAATCTAAATAATTTGTTAACGTGACAAGTCACTGAATGTGTCTTTCTGCATTCGTAGGCGAATGATTCACACTCATGTTGGATCTATTTTTCAAGTGGTTTGGTATGTCTATTTACTTAGAACTGGAAAGGCAAAGTATTAAACTACAGTATCTGCTCTATATTATATTCCGAGTTCAAAACATATTACTCGTATGAACAAGTCTTTATTTTGACGTTTCATAAATATACAAATGTACATTAGATACTGTAAAAAATGACAAACAGCATGCGTTTATTTCAGGTAATCCTGTAATACTGGAAGCTTTTAACTCTTTAATCAATATTCCAAAACACCATTTCTTCCCTTTACGACAGGAAACACTAGCAAATGACAGTACTTTACGTAAGCGACATTTTATAATCACACATGCTATTGTTGCGTTGTTAAGTAAGCTTTAAGCGTAATGCCATATTTCTCATCTAACAATGTCGAGGAAGCTTGTTTGTCGGCGTTTCTTTGTGAAAGTAACACAAAATGACTATACAATCCATCCACTTGAGATGTGCAAGTATGATATTTTCTGGCAAGGCAAATGAAGTTGTTATATATGGTAGCTCTAAAGGTACTAACTTTAAATATTCTTCTTGCTGTAAGAGATACAATAGATATTCTGACAGCCGGGATTATCTGTGCATAATTCAGTTCTAGAATACACCTGCTTAAGATACAGATAATCATCACAACGAAATTAACATAATTCCAATGACTTAAGACTAGATTTGGCTTCTCATTTGAGATCACTCATAAAAACTTTCGTATATTCTTTTAAAGACACTCTCTCATTCACTCGAGCTATTTTATTCATACACAAAGCTGTTAATAAACAACAAAACATGCACAGTCTTAAAAGTAAAAATCCTGACACGATTAAAAGTGAATTTAGAAAATATATTTCTACATTTTTTAAAGACATATCTTAGTAAAAAGCTCTAAACATGACTTCTAACTTCACTAAACATAGAACCAATACTATAATTCTCAACATAGTAATAATTTAAACTCTTTTATACACCTAGTAACAACAACTTTGGTTTACAAATGTCAGCTAACTACTAAAGCTGGCCAGTACAGCCAGTGATATTATTATTGTTTAGCTGAAGTTTAGATTTAAATGTCAACAGCGTAAAATACGCTAGCACTACCTTTCTATTTATCTGTATCAAAGATCGTAAATAGTTAAGACTTTTTATCCACATTGATATCATCATTGAAAAACCACTACAAAGCGAAAGACAAGAAGTTAATAAAATCACTATAAGCTCACCATGACAACGTATTAAATTGTAAGTTAATAATTTAACTTTGAATCAAAACACAGTAAGTCACATTATAATTTCAGGTATAGCATTTCTTTTGCTCAGTGTTTGTGAAAACCATTTATACACACACACACATATTTATATATATGTAGAGAGCGAAAAAGATCGTGAAAGAGATACTCGGAATATGGTTCTACTACTGAATTATTTTAGGCAGGGAGTTATCTGAAGTGTACTACAAAAATTTACTCTACCAAACTTGCTGTTATCTATGAACCTATTCTTTTTCATGTTTTGTTTCAGAAAGCGATATTTTACCCTCATTCTTACATGTTTCTTAGGACAAAATATGTGTTCACACATCATTCACAAAGGTTTAATCTCTCTCTATACATATATATACATACTCTGTTCTAACTTTTTCACATTCTATACATATAAATCTCATAAAACGCAGAAATTTCATTCTATAACTCCCAAATGGCAGATTCACATTATTAAAAAAATGCTTGTGAAAAAAATAAAAAACAAACTGTTAAACAGTAAGGGATTAAACCTTGGACTTTTCTTTACTAATATTAATTTAACCCTGAGAAGGTACCAATTTGAATTCTGTATCAATAAAGAAATTATTTTTTCTTTTTAGGCATATAGTTATTTCTTTAAGATTGTATTTAATGTAAGATGCATTACAATGATTTAATTCATAGTGTGGGTTCAGTACTAGACTTTTGAACATAAATTAAATGTCTCTTCAGTACTTTATTAGACTGAAAAAGTTTTATGCTACATCACTATAGTGTCCAAATTAGATTTTGATAATTTCAAATTAATAACTTTACTTCTAGCTTCATAAGTACTGGGTATTAAACTGATGAATTAAAAACTACATAATGTATCATTAATACCAGAAAAATGTTTGTGAAAGACTGTTTTGGAGAAAAGATACTTTGCAGTAGGAGTTTTTGGTTTTATTAACACATAGTTTTCTTATTATTTATTGAATTTGCAAATTGATTACTTTTAGCTACAAAACTACTTTTTTATTTAATAATAAGCATTAAAACAAATCTTGAACATTCCTGGTCTAAGTGTTTGCAAGAACTCAAATACTGAAAAAAAAACTAATCAAACTTTTTCAAATATCATCAACTGGTATGTTACTTTAAACAGCAAATTATTCAGAATTACATTAAATATTAACAAGTGTATTAATAATAAAATCTATACACCAGCCTTTTAAACCTGACAATAAGAAAAGGAGATGGGGTGGTAAATACTGTCAAAAAATTTAACAAACATACATATTTTTAATGCACACAATAAGTTGTAGTTCAGCACTGACAAGCTGAGTATTATTTATTCAGTAATACAGACAAAGGACTAGATTATATCATCAGCTTTTTCCTTCTTCCACGTGCTGAATATCTTGAGGGACATTTTCTTGATGTCATCATGGCAGTTCTGAGCTCACTGTCACAAAATAACTCCAAAAATCTTTTTCTATACTATACCAGACAGTTTCATTTTGTACACTAAACCAGAAAGTTTCATCTTATAGACAGCTACTCCATATCACAAAGGTTCACTTTCCTTTAGTTCATTATAGTCTAGAAATCTACTAGGTCTCTCCTTTATTAAACTTCTCTTCCTCCAAGTCTTCTTCCTCTGGTTCTTCTAGGGTAATCTGAAATTTGATTTTATCTGATGACTTATGAAATCTTGATGGTGGGTTTGTACTATTGCCTGAGCATTCTCCACCAGATCGTTGATCATGGCTGAGATCAGAAGTACTGGTGGTGGGGCTGGCAGGGATCATGCTTTGGTACCAGTCCCTGTTCTCTTCTAGTGTATCTAGGATATCCTGAGCATCGGGATGAACAAGATCGGCCCATGTTTCCCACAGTGGATGAACAATGTAGTCAATAAACCCAACCTGTAAAACAAACAAATCAACTCCACTGAGAAGAGTAAATGGAAAACACAGCTAAATATGCTTAAAAGAACAGACCTAATAATGGACACTACAGTATCATATAGTTGTTTGTTCAGAAAAATAAACTCCCAGTTTTCCTACTTTCAATTAAATTGAAGAAAATACTTGTTTTCTTTTTGCTCATGTAAGTTAACAGATAAATTGCTTAAATAACTTCTGTAGCTTTCAATAAAACTAAATAGAATCTTCCTTATCTAATATCTTTATCTAAATTATAGTCAACATAGACACAAAAAGGTAGAAGTTTCTATCTGTAGACATTTACCTAGGTTATTAGGATGGAAGACATTTTAATCTATGTACTAAGGCCTTTGTCAGGACCTGAATAAATTATTAATACACAAACCAAACAACTTCCACGTCAAAAACTACAAACTTTTCATAAATATATGCACACAAATTTATGACAAAATTAAATACAACAGTTATGCTAATCCCACATTGTAAATTAAACATAGTGTAATAGCAAGTAGACAAACAAAACTAACATTCAAACTATAGTGTGTGTTTAAGCAGAAAGAAGATCTATGGAAGACAGAGGAATACACTGTTAGTCAGATTTAAACTCTATCCACAAGCTAGTCTATATAGCAAAACTTTTGAATTATCAAGTTAGAGAAGTTATTTATTTTATAATGTTCCTAGTAAAATTCCACACTTCAAAACTCTTCCCAATAAACTTTTATATATCAGCTTTCATATTTATAACTTTATTGCTTTTAATAACAGATTTACAAAAAAAACTTGTTGGTGCAGAATATTCTTCTTACACTGGTAACTTTTATCTATATTTTTTGTGAATAGATACACCCATGATCTAATTAGTTTGAATAATCAGAATGTTAATAACTACATTGTTACTACACATACTCCTGAATAAGAAATAACAAGAGGGAATCCTCAATAGCCGTGGCACTTGAAATTCTTTTAGGCAGGATTATAGTAAATTAATGTACGAGACATTTTTTTCTTTTTATTAGCTGTATTTTTATGTGCCAGCAAATACCAAGCATGGGGCATGCATATATCATGCAGTGACCAACACTGTGTGTTAGATTGCACGTGTGGTTACTTAATGCCACAGGCACAAGCCCTGAAGTAACTAAAAAATAAAAAACCTGTTCAACAATCCCCAATCAACTGCAAAGGATCATTTCAAAAACATATTCCATATGTCTCATAAGGATCATTTCAAAAACATATTCCATATGTCTCATAAGGATCATTTCAAAAACATATTCCATATGTCTCATAAGGATCATTTCAAAAACATATTCCATATGTCTCATAAGGATCATTTCAAAAACATATTCCATATGTCTCATAAGGATCATTTCAAAAACATATTCCATATGTTTCATAAAGATTATTTCAAAAACATATTCCAGGTGTCTCATGTGAACAATAACTTTCTCAGCCTTGCCACTGTGACTTTAAAATTGTTTATAAAACTGAGCATGCACTTGAAGGAAAAAGGATGAGAGATGTCCTACATTCTATTAATTAGGGGTTTTAAATTACAGTTCTTTTTTCTTTAATGAGTGATGCATATTGACCTGGTTTCAGGATATAATTTGTACAAGTAAATAACTATTGTGAGGGATGTAATGCCAGCTTTTAGAAGATAAGTTTTATTTATCACCTTAACTTCTCTGTTTTAACTAGTTCTTATTCTACTGCTTTTTCTGATTTATTAAGAGCAACCATCTTTCCTTAACTGAAAGCAAACAGTGAATGGTAGTTTTTTAGATGTAGGACATACCTGCTCCTAATCTTTAGTTCTAATTTCTTTTCACATGTTCATAAAAAGATTTAACATGTTAAAGGATGTGTTCCTACAACAATACGCTTTGACATTTATTTTCCATACTTTATTTTACTATAATATATGAAAAAATACAATTTTGGGGTTAAATGTAACATACTTACATTAAAGAATTTCTAATATATTCATTTAAATGTATTTTAAGTGAATAATCTGCTATCCATAATAATGTTTTTTACAGGTGTAACATTACTACTATCTGCCTACTTGTTGCATAGTTAAAATCATTGTATATGTTTTGTACTCCAGAGGATGCACACATAATTATAAAATATTTCATAGTGCATAATTTATAGAATATCTTTTGCATAGGAGTGTAATTATTGGGAAAAGCTAACCTGTCAGCTGTAAGTTTTAACAGAACAATTATAAAGACAAGCCTCAGAGTATAAGAATATGTGAATTTGAATTTCTTTATTACCTGATAGCAAATAAAATAAATACCTCTCTTTACTTTTTCAAAATATCATATAAGGTGAAAACAACAACACTCAATCAAGATTCAGAAATGAGCTTCTTCATAATTTCATGTAGACATCCAGTGCTTACCTGAGACTTCTCAACAGTAGCATTGTGTCTGTCACACATGGGGCTGATGTCAAGGCCTTGTTCTCTTTCTTTGTCTCCTTGTTGATAGAACTCTTCCATAAGAAGGTCCACCCACTTCTTGTACATCTCTAAAGGTTTTGTTGGACTGCTGAGATCTGAACAATGAATCATGTTCTGAAGGACCTGCATAGATCCCACAGTAACCATAAGTTTACAGAACCAAAATACTTATTCTAGACATAAAAAACAGAGATCACATTGTAAGAATGAAAAAGGCTTGTGATAAAAATTGTATTGCATCTTTTAACAGATGAAGATTAAAGGGTTAGTGTACTATAATGAAAGATGTTAAACAAATAACGTATAAATGAAGGAAAATCAACTATGAAGCCCTTGACGAAAGTTGGTAAGACAGTTTAATGTCTTAAAAATTTAGATAAGGATTAAGGAGCATCAATTCTGAAGCACCTATGGAAAGTCAGTAAGTTATTTAATGTACCAAAAACTGTAGGGAAAGATTAAGATGAAGCCCTTGAAGAAAGTTGGTAAGGCAGTTTAACTTACTTGAATCCTTTCGGTGTAGTTGTTTAGAAGAACTACACCAGTTCCAGAAACTTTCTTTGTTTCTACCATTGTCTTTAAATCAGCAAGGAGATTCATGTGCTTGGACATATCAGTGGCCAGAACCTGAAAGTTTTTAAGCTGTGAATTAAATTTAAAGAAATATGATAGAAATATACTTTATCAAAAATAAGAGAAATAGAATTTAAGATTAGCATAACAATATAGCAAAGATTATTGAAAAGTCACTAAATATTTATAAAAATTTCTATCAAGATCATTTTAAGACACCATCCAAAAGTAGCAGGAATGAGTGATTCAAAAATTTGTTCAAAAAGCTTTCCAAACTGTTATTGGGAAATTCTATTGAGTGCTTTTGACAACTGGTAAAACATTTAAACATATATGATATGCATATAATACCAAAACCTCAATGCCTTTTTATTTAAAAGATTCCTGTTTGAGTACCCTCAAAATGCAGCATTGTATGAATGTTTTTTTTTATAAGACAAAAATTTAAAGATAACTTACCATGTCTATTGCTATCTTTCTGAGTGTCTGTCCTTGTTTTTTGTTTAGACTACCAAAAATGTTACAATTTTCATCTTGTAAAAGTTTATAGGCAACAGCTAAAGAGTGGTTCTCCAAAACAGATTCATCATTGTACATTATTGCTAGCTCAGACACTGGAAAAGAAAACGAGCACTTTTGTGGTACATTAATAGTAAATTCAGACACTTAAAAAGAAAATCAAATAATGTTTCAAGAAAAAAACAACAGCATTATATATATGTATATATGACTGTTTATAAAACTCAGAAAGCTTTTCTTAGGCTTGAGTCACTAGTAAAGCACATTTTATGGTTAAAGTATGTGTTAAAAATAAAATTGTTGTTATAAACTAATGTTATTACTGGTAATATCTCAAATTACTTTGTACATATAGAAACACAAACAATTCACATCCAAAATTAATGATACAAAACTTGGTTAAATCATAACAGCTCCTTCAGAAAATTTACAATTGTTGATAAAATTTTATTATTAGATATTTCCAAGAATTATATTTACTACAGCTTCAGAGTTTCAAGTTAACATTAAAACAGTAAAGAACTATCTTATAAGTTTGATCCTAATCCTATGTGAACCAAGTAAGTCAGTATGACTGAACTAAGTATCCATATGAGCAATGTGACACCCATCTTTTTTACTGCTGTCAACTCATAGGCAGAGAGCTAATAAATGTTTTGAAAAATAGAACAACACGCTAAAATTAACACGTAGTTAGTCTTACCTGGAATAATTTGTAACCTTAAACCAAAATTCTACCCAAAAAAACCACCAAAGATCATACACCTAAAAAGCCATTATTTCAACAACTTTATTGCATCTTTACCACAAAGTGAATATGCTTTTAAGACATAAAATGTAATTAAACATTGTTAAGTTCAAACTAAACAAAAAACCTAATAACTTTAGGTAGAATACGAATATTCAAACAATCATGAATTAAACTACAAGTGGTACAGAATTATCAGCTGAAATAGTTAAAATAGAAACAGTTAGAAAATGTTATTGATTGAATTTATTTCATTTTAAAGCCTTTGTAATACAGCCAGTATGTGTACTTTGGCAGACAGCACAATGTTAGAAGGAGAGGTTATAAACAATACATTGAAATATCAAGCAATTGAAAATAACTTTTGGGAAATTCTCAAATATATATATGAAATATTTTCTGTGATTTTCATTTTCCCTCCTTTAATTAATAAAACAAAAGAAGTAATAATTATCTTAATGCTGTTCTCCTTAATTACAGAATTCTAAAATATAATAGGCCTAATAACTAATTAAAGTAATCAAACCAAACATGAAAAAACTTCTGCTCAACAGATTAAAAATTTTGAAAATATACTGGTCAAAAACAAACTAACTTAAACTGCTATAAGATAAAAACCTAGAAATAAAATTTTCATCATTAAATAGATGTTGAACTCAAAACATCCTCAATAACTTACTAGTGTTGACCAGATACTGATTGGTCATTCCAGGATGATCCACATCATGAATTGCAGCAGCAAACAATGCAGCAAGAATTTCCAAGTCAGTAAAGACAGACTGTAAATAATGAAATTTCCAAGTCAGTAAAGAAAGACTGTAAATAATGAAATTTCCAAGTCAGTAAAGACAGACTGTAAACAATGAAATTTCCAAGTCAGTAAAAACAGACTGTAAACAATGAAGTTTCCAAGTCAGTAAAGACAGACTGTAAATAATGAAGTTTCCAAGTCAGTAAAGACAGACTGTAAACAATGAAATTTCCAAGTCAGTAAAGACAGACTGTAAACAATGAAATTTCCAAGTCAGTAAAGACAGACTGTAAATAATGAAATTTCCAAGTCAGTAAAGACAGACTGTAAATAATGAAATTTCCAAGTCAGTAAAGACAGACTGTAAATAATGAAATTTCCAAGTCAGTAAAGACAGACTGTAAATAATGAAACAGATACTTGAGAAAAAGTAAAAAAAAAAGTCAGAAACAAACATGGAACAGAGATGTCAAACTTACACATATCTACTGATTCTTATTACAATCATTACTGGTTTTACAAACAAAAAAGTTACTTAGGAGCTGTTAATTAACAAAGTGAAATATTACATAGTAATGTGAAAATTATGTTTAGTTGACAAAAAGTTTTCATAATCTTTTGATTACAGAATGGTCAATTAGAAATAATAGTCCTTTTCTTGTGTTATTAACTTTGATATTTTGGCATCCCAAGCCCAAATTTACTTTTTGTAATCTTACAGTTACATCAGTTTAATTTGAAACCAAATGAAGGTACAATACTGAATTTCATACATGTAGTACAACATCCTTGAGATGTATATGAATAAGAGAGAAGATGCTGTTCTACATATTTGTATTCTGATGCCATTAAAAGTCAAGATTTTAGGTTACATGGCTTAATTTTAAGTAAACGAAGTGATTTAAGTAGAATCTAGATGTACCTTTTTTCTTAAACCTGTTCTTGTAAGATAACACCATATGATGCCAGACCTTGTTTGATAGCACCATATGATGCCAGATCTTATACAAGAGCACACATGATGCCAGATTTTATACAAGAGCACCACATAATGCCACATCTCATATAAGAGCACCACATGATGCCAGATCACATACAAGAGCTCCACATGATGCCAGATCACATACAAGAGCACCACATAATGCCACATCTCATACAAGAGCTCTATATGATGCCAGATCACAAACAAGAGCTTCGCATGATGCTAGATATTGCATGAGAACATCATATAATGCCAAATTTTGCATTACAGTACCAGATCTTGCATGATAGCACCATATGATGTCATATCTTACAAGACAGTACCATATGGTACCAGGTTTTTTTGAACATATTACTAATTAAAGTATTCAAATATTCATTGACTCTCCTATTATTTTCATGATTTAGGTGCATCTGTTGTGTTTCAGCTCAATGTGGTCTGATGCAATGTCAAACAAACTGAAACAGCCTTGAGTTGATAAAATCTTTTTTCTTTAGATAGCTTTCACTCTTTTATGTTAAATATTAGAATTTACTGCAAACTCTTATTAAAATAAGTTCAAAAATATATTTTTTTATATAAAATATATATAAATAACAGGAATGTTAAGAAAACTGTTCATTCATTTTAGTTAATCATACAAGAATAGTTTAAAATAAAAAAAATTAACTTCTGTTTAAGTATCAGAGAAAGAAAGACAATGTTATTACTTACATCAAATGCAGGAGAGAGCAGCAGGACGTTAACTGATTGGGTTACATCAGCTGCATGGATACTGTTATGATATGGGATTTTAAGGTAATGATCTTCCAGAGTCAGAAGGAAATTTATAAAAGTTTTTGCTGGAATCTTGAAGGTGTTTAGCAAGTCTCTTTCCTTCAAGGAAGAAAAAAATCAAACTCATGCTCTTTCTTAAAAACTTTTATAAAATGACAGAATTATTAGTTACAGAGGTATGTGAATCATATGAAGATTCTAAAATAGTTTTCAAATAAAATATATAATCAACAACGAAATATTAATCAGATTGGTTGAAACTGTTTTTATCAAAATTAACAACCAATAAACAAACTACAACCAATCTGATACTATTTAAATATTAAAATTGTACTGAGTGAAGGTCTATGAACATTATGGAAAACAGAATTTAACTTCAATACCACATATTTATGTTATTTTCATGATACTAAAAAATTGTACGAGCTCAAAAATTAGATGAATTAGAAAATAAATTCAACAACCTCAGCAACGTAGGCTTTTGTTCTTCATTAAAAAGGGAAGGTCTATCTCCCAAAAGTGCTTGGCTTATCAAGTTTCTTATTTTGAAATGTTTCTGTTATTAGTATTGAAAATATTTGATTTTTTGTTTAAAATATCATGTTCATAATTCTTGAATTTACCTGATTCACAGCTTTCTTTTGAAGTTCATTCATCTGTAATTACGTTAACTGCTGACTGAAAACTAAAAACCACATAAATCTTTAATGATTTATTCATTCTTTAAAGGTAAGAAGGGTATATCAGAAACAGACATTTAATTAGAAAACACAGCAAATACTTTACAACAGGAGACTCACTCTAAAGACTGTGTACATCATTGCAGTAAGGGGGCGATGGTTAGAACATTCTGTAATCCTGAAAATGTCTATTCCCCATTTATCTATGTCTTTTAAAAGCTGTTAAAAAAGAAAACAAGAAGTTGTTATATCTACAAACATTACGAGAGATAGAATTTAACTTAAATATCAGATATTTCTCTTATTTTCGTAACACTAAATACTGTAAAAGATCAAAAATTAGACGAATCAGAAAATAACACACCCCACAACCTTAGCAGCATAGGTCTTCATTCTTTATTATAGAAAAGAGAAGGCCTATCTGCTAAAAGTGCTTGGCTTATCAGGTTTCTTATTTTGAAATGTTTCTTTTATTAGTATTGAAAATAGTGGACTTTTTGTTTAAATCTTCATATTTAAATCTGCAAACAAATATATCAAATCAGTGGCAGCTCATCGGAAAAGACCGGTTAGAACACTTACCCAAAAAAGTCTTTTAGAACAAACTGGCTTCTGTTCCCAACAGAATATTTAAAAAAAAATGTTACTTTCCACTTACAAATTTTAAGATTGCAGTGGTACATTTGTAACTCAAAATTAACTTAACACTATAGTGGTACATTTTATGGAAGTACCTTTCATATAAGAACCTACTTGGCTGAACACAAACTTATCTTTTATCTTGTCCATGCTAACATATTTAGACATATTTTTTCTAACTCTTTCAACTTGTGTGCTGTCGTGTCTTAACTATTATAAACTGTTTCTCTGTTTGATGCTTCTTAATTGCATTTTCCAAAATTCTTCTGAGCTACATGAGTTTTCACATTACTTAATATATTAATACACAGGCATTTATTACCTTCCCAAGTTCCTCTTCATGTCGAGTATCTACCCCATATTTTGGTAGCTTTGTAATACTATTTGTGTGACATAAATGTTTCTTAATCCCAGAAATCTGAGACATAGCATGTCCTGCTTTGTGCTGGGGCCGGTGATTGTGATATCCATCCTCAATCTGTTTTGTTGGAATATCAATGTCTTGTTGTTTATCTGAAAATGTACCAAAATTGTTTAAATTAATTACAAGCCTAAAAAACAAAATTATCATTTTGTGATTTGCTATAAAATCATCTAATTTAATAAGATAAAAACAAAGTCAAATTATACCAACATAATCTAATTTTACTGCAGTAGATACTACAAGCTGCTATTACATTGCTTTCAGTATACCATAAGCATACAAAGTGTACATTAAAGTATGTTTATATAATTAGATGATAAAAACTGATTAATCCTGGACACTAATGCTACTTTAGAGAGAAAATTAAAAATTTACTCTGCATCTACAACAATCTTAGAAACGTTTATCAATAAAACCAAAAATTTAGACCAAAAATGTAAAGGAATAAAACATGTGTAGTTCATTTAGACCAAAAATGTAAAGGAATAAAAAATATGTAGTTCATTTAGACCAAAAATGTAAAGGAATAAAACATATGTCGTTCATTTAGACCAAAAATTTAAACATAAATGAGTAAAACTTTTATCTTAATTTTATGACTTTTATTTCACTTTAATGAAAAATGAGCTAATGATTGTTGTGACTTACAGAATCTAACACGACAGAAAATCCTATATTAATATTGAATTTTTGTTAGTTCATTCTGAAAGGACACCAACAACCATAGTCTATGCTTTAATTACGATAATTACAACATACTAGCTACTTACATAAGGGTTTATTGCTAAATTAATGATGTGATTCTATATTACAATAGCAATTAACTGTAATTGAGATTGACCGATGCAAATATACAAGTTTAAGTTAAATTATTCGTATGTATGTATCACAGCCTATCCACAAATGCACTTTGTAATGCTTGTTTTGATACACTGTACAGAGGGTGTTTTAATTAATAATGAGAATGGACATATCATATAGAAAGTTATGATCATATCATAATGATAGCTATTTTTAGAATGTGCACATAGCAATTGCAGAAAACTTTGATCAGATTTTGTTATTAAAATTATTTCAAAAAGTATTCTAATGATATGTAATTACTTTTCATATTATGCTTCTAGAGTATCAAATGAAAACTATATACCTAAAGTAAAAATAAAAAACACTCGGAGAGATTTGGCTGCATAATCTGCACTGGAACCAAAGGCTACATTTTGATAAAACACAATGAAATGACCAGGTTATGAGGTCTAATAATGAAACTTGATATAAGGAAGTATGCTCCAGTATGTTGGAATAATAAATACTTTTCAAATAATTTAATGAATAACTGGTTCTGGGAAATAATGTTAAACTTACCCAAAAATGTGCTGAAGATGTATTCTGAGATCTGACTTCCTGATTTAGATTCTGAGAAATGGCTGAGTTCTTTGTTTAACATTCTCTTAAACTAAAAACAAAATAAAAGGAAGTTTAAAAAACAATTTTTAACTAAACACTAATAAGCAGCAAAATATGTTAAATACAGTTTGTAAAGGTGTACAAACAACACTCATTTTAAAACTTTAATCTGACAATGCTAAAATACTGTTTAGTAGATAAGTAAAGATTATTGAATGTAACTAACCTTAAAAATCCCACAGAACCAATTACCAATAATAATAAGTCTTTAACTAACCACCGAGATAAAAGAAAACAACATATTAATAACTATTAACCAGTTTCTAACCAATTAACCATTAAAATAGTAAGAAACTAAATTTTAATAACTACCAGTCTCTAAATAATAACTTCCAAGATATAAACAATATTAGTAAGGAAGAGACTGATGGTTATTAACACTTCATTTCTTGATATCTTCAATATTAGTAAGGAAGAGACTGATGGTTATTAATACTTCATTTCCAATATTAGTAAGGAAGAGACTGATGGTTATTAACACTTCATTTCTTGATATCTTCAATATTAGTAAGGAAGAGACTGATGGTTATTAACACTTCATTTCTTGATTCTTTTATTAACACTTCATTTCTTGATGTCTTCCACCATTCTCTTCCTTACTAATATTGAAGACATCAAGAAGTGAAGTGTTAATAACCACCATTCTCTTCCTTACTAATATTGAAGATATCAAGAAGTGAAGTGTTAATAACCACCATTCTCTTCCTTACTAATATTGAAGACATCAAGAAGTGAAGTGTTAATAACCACCATTCTCTTCCTTACTAATATTGAAGATATCAAGAAATGAAGTGTTAATAACCATCAGTCTCTTCCTTACTAATATTGAAGATATCAAGAAATGAAGTGTTAATAACCACCATTCTCTTCCTTACTAATATTGAAGATATCAAGAAATGAAGTGTTAATAACCACCATTCTCTTCCTTACTAATATTGAAGATATCAAGAAATGAAGTGTTAATAACCACCAGTCTCTTCCTTACTAATATTGAAGATATGTGTGTGCATGTATTGCTTATATATGAAATGAAAATGTACAATGCACAAATGATACGCATACCTTACTAGAAGCCATATCTCCCACAGATCTGTGTGCCTGTATAGTTTCCAGCTGGTCAAGACACCAGTCAAGCTCCTCAAGAGTTTCCATTGCTAACTTGCCATGTTGATCTTCTGTTGGAAACAAAAAAAAATCCCTGACAACATTTTTTAACATATACTTACTTTAAGAGTTAGAAACCATCTTTGAATAAACTGTAAATATTTATTTATAAACAGTGTTAAGAAACCACACACATAAAACAAACATATTCATAATTCTTTTAGTCAGCAGCTTAATACTAACTTTTAAGTAAAAGCTAAAATGGTTACAATTGAATTTAGTCCCAGTTATTTCTGTTCATCAACATTCTTATTTATTGTTATAGGGGTTATCTTATGCAAAGTATCCAACAAGTGCTTTTCAAATTAGTTAGTAAGAATATAAAGAATGGAACAAAAATATATTAACTAAACTTCAAACCTGAATGAAATATTTCCATTACAACTTAGTTAATTATAGGAAATTCCTAATAAACAGTATCAAACAAAAATTCTTAAAATTAAAAAAATATCATCTAGTTATGACATAAGTAAACAGATTAACGAAAAACTAAGTAAAACTGCTATTATCTTAATTCATTTGTTTTAGATCCCTTTTGCTACACATCTCACTCACAAAATGATAGCAAAAAACATGGTTAAGTTTATTGTGTACATTTGCAGAATAAAACAGTGTACTGATTGAAAACAAAGTAAACAGCTTTGTAAAAAAATACAAATGTTAAAATGCCTCCAATGTCAAGAGCTGGAGATGTAGGAATTATATTATAAGACTCAGTATTTTGTGCTTTGTGTGTTTCTGTTTGTTTTGGCCTCTGTAGCACTTAAGTATGTGATAAACAAACACTTAGTATCTCAGGCTATTACTAACCTGTAAGTTGTTTGCTTGACACTGAAGAAGTGTTATTACTTGGTGAAGATCTTCTTGATCTACACAGAAGAAAAATTAAACCAATACTGCTATAAAAAAAAAGCATTCAGTGAATGATGAGTCCATGTTGTCTACAACCATTAAAAGTCTTGTTTTCACTCCTGTTAACTAAATGTAAATATTTTATTAAAATATGTTGGTTATCATATAATAGTGAAACTAAACCACCTAACACATTGTAAGGTTTGAGTAATGTAAATTAAAAGTTAAGATCTAGACAATCATTTTTATTAATTAAGAGCTACATTAAATCATACATCCAATCAATAATAATTAAGTTTTAAGGTCAAAGTTCAGGTTCATGACACTAGTACCTGTTTTATATAAACAACAATTGAGCTATGATGCAAAGTATTTCTTACCAAAGTTACACGTTTAGTTTCTTTTGTTTTATGAGAAGTACATAAAATCCCCAAATATGACATAAACACACACATATATAAAACACTGTTGTGACTCAGTTGGCTTGCCTAACTGGCAATAAAGAATGATAAGATTCAAATTATTTTTATCCTATTACAACATAATAACACATCTATGACTCAAGTATGTTCAATATGTTAGTACTCCAAAGAAATACAGGTAAATTACAAATAACATGAGTGAAATATCAATATATTTCAAGTTACAATTTCAGTAAACAGCAAAAAGATAACATTCTGTCCCATACATAATCCAAAGACTGAAACTAAGCATTTCAAGTCTACAAAGCTTTTTTAATAAAACATACAAATAACCTATTTTATACCACATACAATATAACTCTACCTTGTTTTTTAGTCCTTTCATTACAATTTTAGAAATCAAAAATGTGAAGCAATAACTTGGTTAATATAGTGCACATTACTGCAGTAGCTCTAAATGAAATAAACATATATAATAAAATTTACAAAAGTCTAGGTTTGTGTCACAATATACACTGTGTGTGTCATGCCGTATAAGATTGGACAGGTATCTGTATGTCCAAATATCAAGAGGAGTATATCAATGTCTGTATTTGTGAATATGTCTTTTTCTTTTTGTTATATATATGTGATCCTCATGGTAAATGAATATTAACATTTAATGTTAAATTTATTTGGGGTTAACTTCCCCACAAAGCCTGTCATGGACATACAAACAGGAAAACATTTTCTTGGGTGAAGTTTAAAATAATGTAAACCATGATTAAAGAGAACCTCTTGATAGAAATTGTAACTTTTGTTGCTACAAAAATTGTAGTTGCTAAAATTACTTTCATTTCTTTGAAACTAAAACTTGACTCCCATATTCATCTTCTAACGGATTGTATCATCTTGTTTTTTATCATAGAGCATATAATATTTTTATCTTAAATGTATTACTATAGAAATAATAAATTTAGGTAAATTTTCTTTCCATTTGATTTTTCTAAAAGTTTCTTCTTCATGTATTGTGATAGTTTTTGGCAAGTCAGAAAATAATAAAACTAAACACCATTTATAAAATACTTACTTGTATGCTGGCACCTTGGCAAGAGTAATGTAGTTATTCCGTACATTTCTTAAACTTTGAAGAATTTGAGCAAATGGTGTTACTATTAGATCTTGATCTCCATGTCTATAAAAAAAAAGTAAAACAATGAAATCTTGAAAATAACATTTCACATTGCAAAGTACTAACACCAACCAGTTAAATTTCAAGCTTGAAAATATATTTGATTACTTTGCCATAAAACTACATTATTTTAATTCTAAAAAACTATTCTATGTTGTCATCTCAATAATTATAATTATACTGCTTTAGGGTAGAACAAGGTATTAGTTGAAGCTTCTGGATCAACTGATAATTCAAGGACTTTCTTTAAAGAACTTTGGAAACTTTTCTTCGAAATTAAAACTATGCAACTTTTATTGTTGTACACAAGTATTTCCCTGTAGAATAAAACACTACAACAGTTATAAACAAATTAATAATTAACACTATGAACTAAATTTTAAAAAACCTGAAATAAATGTTTAAAAAATAAACTCTTTAATTTTAGTATAGCACTAAAAACATAATAATTGTTAGTTTGAAGTGATTTGTCCCAGAAACAACCACAGAGAAACTAATTCTTATGTTGAAACTAATTCAAAATAAATGTTTTCGAAATAAATATGTTTTCAAGGAATGAGAATACCGAGTTGACAATCTATAAGTTGATTACATTGCATATCTCACACTAATCGCCAAATGCCATGACGAGATTCCAAGGTTTGATACTTTTTTCTCGATCAAAGAATTGTGCAATTAAATGTTGGCAGGAATAAACTAGACGAAAAAGTCAGATAAAATGTTAGAACTATATCTTAAAATGATAATGGTAATGTTCGAAAATTTTAATGTTATGTTCTAATCTCTACGTGCATGGTAACAATATACAAGATCTGAAGCAATTAGTAAATAAATAAACAAAGTATTTAGTATATACTTTCAAATGATTAGTAAAGAAACTGTTAGACTATGACTTGAAGTCAACATACCCTATACCACCAGGTATTTGGAGTAATTTTTCCCAAAAGGAATAGCGATGCTTGACTCTCAGAATCCCAGTACTATATGTTCGAGGGATCTTTCCTTCTTCCTTTGGAGCATCAGCCATCTTAAACCATCAATATGTATGTTTTCTGGACCACAAAATCTGATCTACCAGAAAAACTTAAGTACCCAACACTAGGAATATAAAAAAATTGATAAAAAGATTTTTCTTTGAAATTTGAGTCTTCAAATGAGATTTCTCTTTTTAAGTTTTAAAAGCTGTTCCAGTTAAGTCTTAATCCGGAACTTTTCTACCACTCCCACTGCATGCATATAAGTAAGTGTTCTGTATGGAGTTAATGCTGAGCTATGGTTCATATATTTTGTAACCCATCATTTGTGAGAAACCTAACATTTTCCTTAGATTTCAGGAGAATAACAGTTATTAGGGATGAGGTTATGCCTAGTTTTTCAAACTAACCCATATCAGTTGTTTTTTTGGGTGGTTACCATATTTTTCGGAATATAAGACGCAACCTTATTTTGAAGACAAAGTTTTGGGGAAAAAAAAAAGCTACAGTCACATTTGAAAGATTTTTATTGAACAAAAATTCAATTTGATACTTTAAAAATTAGTATATATTGTTCTAAACACAAAAGAGCTCAAAACATCAAAATATGAAAATACCGTAAATCAAAAAAATTTTTACTGTTATTTAGTTTGGTTCAAA